TTGAATGCTTTTGATAAATACTCAATAGCTAATAAATAAACTCAAATAGCTTAGCATTATGTTCGCTTATGTTCACAAACATTATCGTTTAACACTCGTGAACAAGCTAGTTAAGAAGCTCGACTAACAAGCTCAATTAGAACTATATTAGAGTTTTAAAAATTAAATATTATTAAATTTCATAATCTATTTTTACTAATTCCATCTTAAATCATTTAATAATTTATTTTTACTTCCCGCTTCCACCTAAAATCACGAACTGCACTCTCCGAACAAATATAAGATGAATCATAGATCGTTTGTTCATGAACGAGCTCATTTGATAGCTCAAAAAACTAATTAGATATGTTCATGAACATGCTCATTTGATAGCTCAAGAAAACTCATTAGATCTGTTCCTAAACGAGTTTGTTTGATAGTTTAAAAAACTTCGCTAGATATGTTCACAAACATGCTCAATGTAATTGTTTGTTATAAGGCTTGATAAGGCTCGTTTGTTAAGCTAATATACATCTAAAAATAGAGCTCGTTAATAGCTTGATAAGACACGTTTATTTAAAGCTCAATAAGCACGAAATGAACCAAACATGAATCAAACATGAACACCGATTAATTTAAACAAACCAAGCTTGAACACGAACAAAAAAGCTCGAATCAAACTCAAAATGAAATTGAACAAACTAATAATAAAAGAACTCAAACATGAACACACACATACTCGGCTCGGCTCGGTTCATTTGCAGCCCTATCTCTCAAGTCTTTTAGGAACTTTGGAAAATTATTTTGCAAGAGTTTTAGAGCATCAGAATTTCTAAGATTTTGATTTTTAGCAAACACTCATTAGTTATTATAACCTAGAATTGAGCCCTATTTTTAAGTCCAAAAATTTATTAGAAAAAAGCAAAAAAATATAGAAATGCTTAGAAGTAAATTATTTTAAACTAGTCTTTACATACAAATCAACCACTTGTTAGGCTACATCGAGACCCTTGCATGGTCACTTCAGGATGGACTTGTTGTGCTCTATCTAACATGAATCAAAACAGTTAGTTGAGTGACACTTTTATAAATATGAATAACTTTTTAATTTCCTTAATACCTAATGCCTCTATAACATACTATATATTGTTTTGAATGTAACAAATGCAACAAATATAATGGAATCAAAATGAGAAGTTAAATTTTCAACTTAAGAGCTTAATCCAAATGTGAGTCAATTCATCTTGCAACTACAAAACTTAATACCTAATGACTGAAAGAGAAGCTTGAGTTTCTTTGAATCTACTTTGGTAATTGGATTGTGCATCATATGATCTAGAAGCCTAAAAAATTCTTTAAACTTTAGCATATACCTTAGTCTATTCTAGCTATCATCAATATAAGCCCGAAATGACCATGGGTTCATGGGGCAAACACATGAGCTCACATTTAACTATAATCCTAGATCTGCAATAAAATTTGAATCGTAACAAGCATTTGAAGCCAAAGAACAAGAATCCAAGTCTAAAAAATAACTTGAATTTTTTTCTGACCAGCTCATACCTACTAAAGCTACCACTAGTTCACTACTTCGCTTGAGCATTTCACTAATACAAACTTTGAAAAAATATTGAAGCCAATTATTCAGGAAGACATTGATTTTTTTTCTTTACTTCACCCTACAGAATGAGCCTATTACACTTTATTTAATTAAAACAACATATTCACAGACCCTATACTAATAGATTTCTTCAATAAAGCCTAAGTCCCCTAGAAATATAAGAGTCGTGGAGTCTACTAATCACACCCTTTGGTTACAAAGCTTCAAAGATATGGTCCACCACCATCATTAACCTTCTTTTGTCATATTACACCTTTTTAAGAGCTTTTATAGCTATTCAAGGACAACATTACGTTTACTGTTAAGTACTTGCCATATCTTTCCTTCTTATGCTCCATTAAACCAATTCATGATATAGCCTTCCAACAACCTATGGTTACCATTGAATTTTCCAAGCATGTATTGTTTTATTATATTTTTGATGAACATTTACATGGATGAAATGTTGATTTTAAAAATAAAATTGTTACACAACAACAACATCAAGCCTTTATCCCACTATGTAAGGTCGGCTCCATGAATTATTTTTCTCATGGTGTCCTGTTAAGAATCATATTCTCATTTAGTCTAATAAAGAAAGGTCATTTCTAATATTTTCTAACCAAGTCTTTTTAGATTTATCTCTACTTTTCTTAACATAAGTCAAATCTAATACATCTAGTTTCCTAACCGGGTCATCGGAAGGTCGTCGTTTTATGTGATCAAACCATCTAAGGTGACTCTCTCTAATATTATCTTCAACTAGAACTACTCCAACCTTTTCACATATATGCTCATTTCGTATCATGTCTCTAAGAGTAAAGCCACTCATCTACCTGAGCATCCTCATCTCTGCAACACTTAACTTAATATTATGCTTCTATTTTAATGGCCGACATTATGCACCATAAAACATGGCAAGTCTTACCACCATCTTATAGAATTTTCTCTTAAGTTTAAGAGGGACTTTTCTATCACAAAACAAGCCCGATGCATTCCTCCACTTCAATAATCCAACTTGAATTCTACTAAAAATATCTCCATTTATTTCACCATCACTCTGAACAATAGACCCATAATATCTAAAACGTATACTCTTATTAATGACTTGATCACCCAAAGTCACAATCCCCCACTAGATCTATTATTACTAAAACTATACTCCATATATTCCTTTTTAGATCAACTCAAACAAAAGCCTTTAGACTCTAAGGTTGGCCTCCATGCTTCAAGTATATTTTCAACTCCCTCTCTAGTCTTATCAACAAGAAGAATATCATCAACAAAAAGCATACACCAGGGTACAACCTCTTGCAAATGTCAAGTGAGAACATTCATGACTAAGGCAAAAAAGATATGGGCTTAAGGTTGATCCTTGAATGTTACACATGATTAAAATAAAATTTTTACACATGATTACAAAAAAAATGTAAGTATACTGCAAGCTCAACTAAGTGCTAAAAAAATTTCCATTAAAAGCTACGAATTAGTTGGTGTATCATTTTCATATTTTTCACATTCCACCAATGTCTTTATCTATCATAGTCATGGAACATTATATTTATATATTTCTTGGACCTAGTTTGTTCGCACATGAAATGCATTTAAATGATAGTATTAGTCCAACTTTAAATTTTAAAACATTTATTTTTACCCAAACACCTTCAAGCCTATGAAGTGCTTGCAGAAATTTAGAAAAAACCTTAACTAAAATTTGATTTCAATAATTTCAAAAATTTAACGATAAGAAAATTAGGACTAAAACACATAATAACACTTTTTTATTGAAAGTTCTAGGAATGAAAAGACAAGATAAAAGTGGATCTTCAATCGGAGAGGAAGATCCAGTTCTCCCAAATCTCTAGCCACTGACTAGAGCCCAAATACCCTACGAACAATCTAATTTCAGAAACCAACACATAATCCTAACCCTAGGAAAAAACCCCTACTTAAAGCATACAATAAACAACAAATACCCAAACATCCCTCCCCTAATTCCCTCTCAAATCAACCCCCTTTTCCTAAATAATTCCCTCTCATATTTGAATTCAAATTATATATCTTGCCCTCAATAATTGCCTCCCAATTGTAATTAAAAAATTTTCTTAACAATTTCCCTTTGATTAAGAATCTTCCTAAATAATTCCCTCTTGATTAGGAAACTTCCTAATTCCCTCCCAATCAAATTGGGTGGTCCAGTTGATGCAGTTCCTATAGATGGAACTTGTGTAGAACATGGTGTGTCTAGTTTAGTTGTCACCCTTCTTTCTTGATAGCATCAAGATATACTAGTTCCGTCTAATTTGATAAAGATATCATCTACCTTCTGGTGATTACATGATTTACTGCGAGGAGTTTCTCCATCAACCACTCTTTTTCTTAACAGATATTATCATCGTTACTCTTCTATTATTCATGCCACAGGGATAATCTAGGCAAAACATCACAGGCATATGTGTCATTCTTGTTGATCCATTGAAAGGAGCGATGATATGAACAAGCTCATTAAAAATATTAGATGATTTTGATTTATTTGTTTTATCAGTGGTGCATTGTTCAGGGAATTTGTAATACTTTAATAATCAAAATTATTTTTGTATTTTCATATAACAATCCTTTAGATAAAAGGGCTTTTTCATGATCATTTGCAATGAGGCTTTGAATATTGACTGAAATGAGTTTCATGACTGGCCCAAGGATGTTATTGTTAGGATACCATTCCTTTTTTTAGCTTTAAGGATTTCACATCTCTTCAAATGTATTGAGGATTCATTTGCGTATTTTTCTAGCCTTCTCTCTATTTCCCTTTTCTGCTTTTTTTTTTTTTTTTTGCTCTTTTGCATGCATGTTTCAATAGATTCACCATTCCACTGCCAATAATAAATCAATGGAAACCATTGGCATATCAACGCCAGGGAAATAAACCGCAATACTTTATGTAATATTTTACCCATTTATTACCAAAAACCAGTATCGATCAAACTGGCATGCATAAGAGAACAAATTAGAAATAAAAGATTAGGCGTTCAGCAACAAGTTATTTATGCACCAGCAAAATATGGCCATCCTTTACATACGGAAGCATGGTCATAATCCAAGACGTTTAACAATCAACAAATTGATGCTACCCGTTTACAATTAGAATTTGTTCATCTTGGTCAAATCTGGAATCTTGCATGAAATTAAAACAAGAGAACGAAGACAAATTAATGTTTATTCAACATTGGGCTTATCGGCACCAAAATAGAATTGGTCAACTCTTATCAGCACTAACTAAATCATGCTCGTAATAACAATCCAGAATTTAATCAATCAACATGATTAAAAAAGCTAAAAAAGGCGATAACAAAAGCATTAAGAGCAAATAAATTCATAAATAAGTTTCCCAAACTCAAACAAAGAACAAAGAGACGAAGCATACTAGCCAATTCTGCAGCTTGTTCTGGAGTTAACCTAGCGGCAAAACCGTGTACGGCGTACTTATAACTATAGATCAGTGCCTTCTTAGCCGCCTCAGCGCTGCCAAGAGGCAAACAGAGAGAAATCATCATTGCCCCAAACCCCAAAAAACTAACCCGAGAAAGCTATGATGTTTCAAATCGATCAGAGAAAAGGAAATACCTCCCAAGAATGGAAGAAAGAGTTTCAATGTGCAAGGATTCTTTATCCAACCCTTCAACGGGATTGAAGGTCACGATGTAGACGGCAGTATTGGAATTCCCCAAGCCTCGTGCGGGAGCTGCTTCCTTGAGTTCCTTCTCCACTGACGCTGCCGGAAATGGCAAGGCCAAAAAGAGGAGGAAGAAGAAGAGAAAGAGAGCTCTTGATTTCTCCATTGTGATTGTCTGTAGCTTCGAACCAACGAGTACGTAACTTTATATAGAAGTTGTCGGGTCACCGGCCAAAGCTAACACTTTTGCACTGACATTTGGTCATTTTAGAGTAAGTTGGATGCAACCTATACTTTTGAAAATTTCCCCTCTTTAAGTTATTTTTCATTTTTCTTGTGATTGGTTTATATTAAAATAATAAAAATACTAAGTTTTAAGAACTTGTGAGTTGTCAAATTTATGCAACAATATAGAAAAACACTAATTAGTTGACCATCTAATATTACTATATCAAAAACTAAATGAAAAAAAGATTACTAGAATAATATGGATGCAATTGAAGTATGAGTTTTAGAATAAAAGATATAACACTTCAAGAGATAGAAATAAATCGCATGAATGTGATTCAAAATATTATTTTTTTATGCCCAAGATGATAAATTAACTTTAATTATTTGATAATGAGTATGGATTCTTCATCTTAGGGGGTAATTTTTAAGAATGATTCTAATTAAATTATAACTAATATTTTGGAATTCAAACTTTGATTTTCAAGGATAGAATTTTGGAATATAAGGGATTGTTGTAACTTGAAGAAAGATCATATGGAGTCCAAAGGATGTGATGGGAGAGCTTTTAATCCTAAAATTTCAAAATACCCAAGGGCTTGTTAGGCTACTAAATCATTTTAAAGTGCATTTACTTACATCTAAGTTAGGGGTTCGATTTTAAAATTTGGGTCTTATTCCTTCCCAGTGCTAATGAGATTATTACTGGGTAGTAGGATAATCTAGGGACTTTTGACATCATAATTAAAGACATTTATCTTAATGTTATATCTCTATAGATACGAAGTATAAATATAACCATCCATCTAAATTTGACGCAATGTAAATAATCATAGTGGGACTTGTAACATTAGTTGCATTCATACTTAGTTGTACCTGTTATGACCCGATCTAGTAAGAGTAATGAAATGAAATTTTTGCATCTATATTTTCTACATGTGTTTGTGAGTGTTATGTATACATATGCTTGTATGAATTTGTTCTAAATCGAGTCTCTGTGGTTTGTGTGCATGCATGTAAAATTTGAAAAAAAATTCCTAGGAGCATTGCGACGCTAAGCAAGCAGAGCTGGGACATTGAGCTCTCCAGCAGATTTTTTGGAAAATAAACTAACGTTGCGGCGCTATGGTCATGCGGTGCATCGTTAGAGTTGATTGTTCCTATTGAGCGGGATTTTGATATTCTTATCCAAATGATAATTCAACTATCTCTATAGGAAAGAATTCAGGAAGCTCAAAGGTCAAATCTAGAGTATCTGAAGCTGATTGATTAAATCAAGTCTAGTTAGAAATCTAAGCTGTGATTATTTAATTTTGGTATTATTTTCTATAAAAATATATTATGGGTACCTAGTTCTAAAAATATAATACAAGTAATTCTGCACGAGGCACACTATTAAGGTTACATTATTCATCCGTGGAGTAGCAAAATTTATAGTGATATGAAAGATACATTTTGATAGCCTAGATTTAAAAAAAATGTAGAAAATTTCAGAACTAAGTGTAAGTCATGTCATTTAATGAAGGCAAAGCATCAACAATCAGGAGTTTTTCTATAATTATTGTCTATTCTAGAGTGGAAATGAGAAGATGTAATAATGGACATTGATATGGGATTTCCAAAATCGATATAGGGATATGATGTTATATAGGTTGCGATAAATTGCCTGACAAAATATGCTCGTTTTATTTTGATCTAACAGCCTAATTTAATAAACAGGTTGGCACAGGTATATGAGTGATAAATCTTTCAACTATATGGAATATTGAAGGTGATAGGCTATGATAGGGATGAAAGATTACTTAAAAGTTGTGAAAAGGAAGGGGTGTCAATATTTAACCCAACTCGGACCCAACCAAACAAAATTTGGGTTTGAGTCAACCAATTTTACACATGGGTCAGGTTCGAGTTTTATTTTTCGGCCCATTTCCAATTTTGGGTTGGGTTCGAGTCAGTCCAAAATCCAAAAATCAACCCAAAACTGACTCGTGCACCCCTTGCCCACAAAGCTTCCACACATCTCGCCTGCGCCCCCACCTGAGCTTGCTCCAGCGCCTACTCCCGCACCCGCGTTCTCTTACACGCACTTGGCCCCTTGCCTGCAGGTTTGCCTCTCACATTTTCTCATGCCTCACTGCCTTGTGAGTTAGCGGGTTAGGTTGAGTCAACCCAGGTTAGAGGCAAGTTGAGTACGGGTCTAGATTTTTAACTAGTTTATTTAATTGGGTCGAGTTCATATTGAGTCAATTGAAGGCAGGTTAATTTTGGGTTGGATCTAAACCCAACTTAAAACCCCATTTTGACACCCCTACTGAAAAGGTATTTATTATGGTTTGGCATTTAAGTATGGATTTCTATCCATAGACTGATGGAGAATCTGCGAGATTTATTTAGGTATTAGAAGACCTTCTCAGACTGTGTGCAGGACTTTGGGAGGTTTTAGGAAGATCGTGTTCCTTTGATAAAATTTTTCTACAACAACAATATTCAATCAAGTATAGGTGTGACCCCTTATAAGGCTTTGTACCATAGGAAATGCAAAACTCCACTATCTTGGACAGAGGTGGGAAGGAGTTTGATTGGACTAGCTTTTGCTGATAATGCTACTAAAAAGACCATCTGATGCGTGATAGATTAAAAGCAGTACATGATAGATAAAAAAAAAGTATTATGATGCAAAACATTAATATATGGAATTTTAGGTAAAATATTTTATATATATGGAGATCAGGCCAATGAAGGGTAAAGCATGTTTGAAAAGAAGAAAAGTTAGGTCCAAGGTACGTTATATCATTTAAAGTAATTGAAAGAATTAGAAAGTCTACTTACATTTTATAATTGCCAGAGCACATGCCTGATATTCATAGTTTATTCAATGCATTATCTCTGAGAAAATGAGTATATAATTTTGAGAATATAATATATATAAAAGAAGTTGATGTATGCCTAAATATCAGCTACATAGAAGAAAACGAAAGAATATTGGGATATGATATTAAAAGGTTGAGGAATAAATAGATCCCAATTGTTAAAGTATAATAGAAGCATGGAACAAAAAGAGAAACCACACTACATGAAATTTACTCATTACCGGCAGTTTTTGCCGGCGGTTTACTCATGTTTTCTGACGGTTCTGAAAAAAATCGGAGGCTTCTCGGCGGTTTTCAAACCACCGGAAATAACAACGCCGGAAAATCATTACCGGCGGTTTGTTTCACCGACGGTGTTCCGGTTGTTTAGACCGCCGGTAAAAATACTGTCGTTCGACCGCTGGTAGACCGCCGGGAAACGTACCAGCTGCTAACCGGCGGTCATAACCGAACGAATTGCCGGCGGTTGTAGCGCCGGCGTGTCGCCGAACTACTGCCGGACACCGTCAGTAAACCTATGGTAAATACCGACAGTTATAAGGGATTTTCGGTGGCGTCTATCAGTCGTCTGGTATCGAAGTTTTTAGCGACTAAATCGCCGGTTAGCCGTTAGAAACCTGTAGCATCTGAAGAAAAAAAATTGACAGCCTCCTCTCTATTTGAGGGATTTTCACCATAAACTCTAAACCTGCACAAAAAATAATAACCATAATTTTGGGCAACACGCCACTATAATCAATCACAACAATTATCACAAATATAACCAAACAAAACAAATATATTATAACTTCACAAGTTCAACCAAGTTCATCAAACCAAAGTTCTAAGTTCAATAAGTTAAACCAAACATGGACATCTAAACATTTTATCAAACTTAAAGAAAGGCTGTTGAGATGCAACTTGAATGAAAGTTTCAACTCCCTGTATAAATTCATCTGTTAATCCTTTTCTAGTCGGTAACAATCTGTTATATATCCAATATCTCTCTTCTTGGATAGTCATTTAAACGTTGAAGCAAACTTAAAACAAACAAAAAGCTTGATATAAAAATCCTAAAATGTTAAGTCAAAGATATTACCAATAATGAATAACTCAAGGAGTTGATTTTTATGAACAATTAAAGCACCTCTTGAAAGTTCTTAAAAGATTTTACATTGAAAGTTTAAACCCTCTTATTTCCATTAGTCTTTTGTTATTCATAATATGACGATATCACTAGCTTTACATATCCCTCATAATAAAACTTTAAAAAAAAAATTACAAACGCTCACCTCGGAGACGGCGTCGCGCACGGGAGTTGGGAGAGCACTTCAAGCTTGCAGTGGGGAGTTCGTCGGTGGCCAGAGGGACCTCATCGGTGGCCGGAGACAGCTCGTTGGCGGCCTAAATGCTCTCGATCGCGCGAGAGGGCGGGCGGAGGAGTGGGGGAGAGCGCACCTGAAGAGAGAGAGAGCATGAGAGGGAATGAAATGGGAGGGTCGCGGGAACGTTAATTTTAGGGCTTTTACTGGCGGTGTTCCGGTGGCTCAAACCGCCGGTAATTAAATTACTTAATACCGACGATTTGAGCCACCAACATAGCGCCGGTAAGTTTTAAGGCCGACGTATAACCCGGTGGTTTCGTGACCGCCGCTATTTCCGGCAGCCTAAACTTGCATAACGGTCGGTTGGGCCGTCGGTAATAACCGGCGGTCGGACCGCCGGTTAAGCCTTCGTTATCACCAGCGGCTGGATAACCGTCGGTCCAGGACGCCGGTAATCAATGAATTTTTTGTAGTGCCACTTGAGAGAAAGAATTTGAAATGAGATAGTTATATCATGATCTAATCTATTGAGTTGAGATTTAAAATGTCAAAGATGACATTCTTCTAAGGAGAGGAGGATTGTAACAACTGCTGAATTTGTACTCATTTGCGCCTATTCTTGCTAGGTCTAACAAGACTAATGAAGTAAAATTTTTGGATTTATGTCTTTTGCATGTGTTTGTGAGTGTTTTATATGCATAAGCTCATTTGAATCTACTTTGAATCGGGTCTTTGAGGTCTATGTGCATGCAAGTAAAATCTGTAATTTTACTCTAGGAACGTTGCGGCACTGGGTAGATAGCGTCGTGGCATTGAGCTCTCCAAAAGATTTTTAGGAAATGAACTAACGTTGTGTCACTGTGCTTTTCGGTGGGGAGCTCTGTGGTTTGAAAATGTGTTGTTTTACTGTTGAACTATGTACCTCGCATCAACAAGAAATCTTGTAGTTTCGTACCTGTTAAGCGTCGACGCCGCTCTTTGCACGATTCCTACTCAAAATCCTGCTCGAGGAGGCTCGCTCTCATTATTAAAAACGAGAGGAATGACGAGCTCCTACTCTTCTTCCTCCCCCACATAAGCCTCGCTCTAGCTCTTCCCGCTCACGTGCTACAGCCTCCCAAATGCCCATGAAATTCAAAAATTTACCAAAATTTAAATTTTTAAAATTGAAATAAAATACCAAAATACTTAAAGCAAAATATCCATTCATCCTCTGCAATAGTTTGCTAAGGTGGGTTTAAAAATCACTTCAGCTCATAAAGAGCGAATGTCTGGTCAAGAATATCATGAGGATTCATTCTTAATCCATCTTTTGTCAGCAATGACGTGGCACGTGTCCTATAATCGATGGATTTACTGTCAAATGATACCATAGGTAAACGGTTATAACCGAGACCCTCTTATCGAATGATTTTGCAGCCAAATAAAAGAGAGAATGAAGAGATATATATCATAATAAAAAGAAATGAAAAGGAATTCATAATTTAATTTTCATAAAAGAAGTATAGGATAAGAGGTCAAGATGCTGACCAACTTAATTAATCAAAACTCATGAAAATATCTTATAAATTTTCTCTTATATTTTTAACTAGAATATTTTTTTATTTTTATTTGTATTGGTCTCAGTATCTTAAACAAACATTATTTTTAAGTTTAATTATATTTTTGGGTACATCGAATAATATTCTCGGTAAAAGAATAAGCCGGTATTCCAGTTCTTTCAACCAGATATTCAAATGAAATTTGACCCTAAAGTGCATTTAGAAAGAGTGAATAAGCTCAAAAAAGAAAATTATAACTTAATAGACATTGATAAGGAACTCTAAAAGAGTGGACATAATTCAATCAATATTTCAAAATTCTCACATCCCAAGTTTTCTGACTGTAAACATACTTAGGTTTCGTTTGGGACAGCTTTATTATTGCTTCTTAAAGCAGTTTTTTAGAATAAAAATTAATTTTTTTGTACTAGGAAGCTGTTTTAAAAAAGCAATAAAACAGCCGTCCCAAACGAAGCCTTAGTCAACAAGGTAGCCAATCTAACCTAATATGAGATTATTTGAATGAAATATTGAAAAGCAATCTCACAAACTTTTGCTGAAGAACACTAAAAGACTTGCAAATGATGACATATTTTGGCTCTCATGCTTATAAATTAAAAATAGCCCTTTGGCTTTGAAAGAAATGGATTTTGTAAAATATTTGAAACTTTGAAATTCTCAGTGCTTTGATTTTAATTAATAAAATTAGGTTTGGCTAAACTAAACTGATATGGAGCTAACAATTTGGATGAATCTAAAGAGAGAGTGACAACAACTTAGGCTTCATTTAAAATAACTTTTTTATTGTTTTTTAAAATGACTATTTTGTATAAAAAAAATTAAGTAAAAAAAATTGTGTACAAGAAAGCAACAAAAAAGCTATTCCAAACGAAGCCTCAATTGCCTCAATTTAGGCTTCGTTTGGGACGGCTATCCTATTACTTCTTAAAGAAGCTTTCTAGTACAATTTTTTTAATTTTTGCACTTAAAAACTACTTTAAGAAGCAGTAAGAAAGCCGTCCAAAACGAAACATTAGTCTGTTGGTTGTGAGCTTTGGCTACTAACCAAAAGTTTTTGAGTTCAAGTCTCATGTATATGATGTGTATGTGAGTTATCTTAATTGACCTAAATGTCAAAAAAAAAAAAAAGAAGTGGCAATTTTATAAATAGTTTGAACTTTTTTATTTCCTTATAAATTAATGAATATAAAATATATTATATTTGATTTGTAAGGATTGCAAAGAATCAGATGGAAATAAAATTGGATGCAAATTTTGTTATTGTAAATTAATTATATATTTAATTTAACTTTAAATATGTTTAATTCTTGAATTTTATAAATAGTTTGAACCACTTTTATTCATAGAAGCTCAGAGAAAACCCTCACAAATTCGTTTATCTTATACTATAATCAATCATTTTGGATGAATTATCCTATGCGGATACTTGATGGCGAGAATCATTTGATTTATCTCTGTGAATAGTAAAATCGCATCTCTCTGCGCTTTTACTGTTCACAGCGATAAAACTGAAAAGAACCGTACGGTGCCCGCACAGAATAATCTCTTATCATTTTGAAGCGAGAATACTTGATATTACTTTTTTATAGATCAAGAATCTTTTTTCTCTTCTAAAATATATATTTATAATATCAAAATACTAAAAAATTTAATTACTTTTCTTATTATTTACTAATAATAGACTAAAGATTACTCATATCAACAAAAATAGGTCATCTTGCACGTACATGGTCTATGTACAACCTTATACACATGGTGTTTGAACATATTCGAACTTCTCTTCCTTGGGTTCACAAAATCAGGGCGAATTATTACGTCCGGTAACCGGACGTCCGGACACCCAATTCAAAAGCGTCACATCACCCGAATATACTGGGTTCCGATATATTTTGGTGACGTGGCGCGTCTGGATTGGTATCCGGATGAATCCGGACACCGGACGTAATAATTTGCCGAAAAGCAGACACACAAGAAACGACTTAACCATTAAATGTCACCAAATGTAAAATTAATTTGGTGTTCATTAACTAGAGTAGGAAAGAAGCTAACAGTGCAGATACTTCCAAGAGAAACAGCAACAAGATGGATAGGAACCAGGCAGGCTCTTAGCAGCTTATCACCCCATGTTTCAACACGATCTGCGCCATTAAATCCTGAGGTGAATCTCCACCTCAAACTTCATATCCTGCTCTCTATTTCCCTCCACCTTATATTACTTGAACAGTCCTGCTGGAAAACTAAGCGCAAGAGAGAGGAATTAGTATTCAAAAGGAAGGAACTAGCTAAGCTCTTCTCTTGCTCTTCTTCTTGCCCTGAATGGCTTCTGCTACCATCCTAAAGTCTGCATTTCTCCCTAAGAGATCAGAATGGGCTGCCGCCACTCGCTCATCCGCTGGCCGCCAGGCGACGGCTGTGAGCCTCACAGTACGGGCTGGTTCATATGCCGATGAACTTGTCAAGACTGCAGTAAGTGTTCGCGGCACAGTTTATTTTAGCATTACTTGTTTTTGTTTGGTACATAGTCCAAATCCCAAAAGCCTTTCGATTTATGGGCAGCTTGGTAGGAATGAAATTGAAAACTAAATTACACGGAAGATAGAACAAGATAAGGATTTTAGGCAATTCAGAGATCAATAGTTATACATACCACACAAATTTTACTATATTCCTGGAGTTACTATTACAAAATGATAATAGGTTTTACAATTTTTAGGGTTAGTGAGCGCCATGGATTAATGGCATCATATAGGAAAAATATTTGGGGAGGATGGAGAGAACCGTTTGATTTTCTCTCTGTCTATAGTGAAAGCGCAATCAAAGCGATATCAATGCGCATCTGCTATGGTAACTGTGCTTTTACTATAGACTGAGAGAAAACCAGACCGTCCGATGTCCGCACCTAATAATTTCTCAATTATTTGGGTCGAAATAAGCTGATCAAAATTTTGGCCAAGTTAGAGTTTTGCAGTCGTTCAATTCATTCGGAGATAATTGGAATACATTTAGAAATATTGAAAATTTATATTGAACTTATCTTAAAGCAAATCTAACAAATTTTAGACTCATTCTAATAAAATTATCTAAGCAAGATATCCCGAGCTAAAATTATCTAAGCAAGATATCCCGAGCTAATTTTTTTCCTACTGCATCTAACTCTCATGATATTCCTTTACAATATTTAATTCTTGATAATAGGGAAAGAAGAGTCTTTGGTTGGTATTAGACTCGACACAACAACAATTAATCAATTTAGGCTTCATTTGGAATGGCTTTCTTACTACTTAAAGCTGCTTTCAGAAACAATAAGAAAGCCGTCCCAAACGAATCCTTAAGCTTACAATTTGGCTGGCAAAAAGTGTTAAAAATTATATTAACAGGTATCCATGCTGCAACCATCTGAAATTTTTACAAAAAAGTGATGTGGATGATGGTTTGGGCTTGTTGCAGAAAACTGTAGCTTCACCGGGAAGGGGAATTCTGGCCATGGACGAGTCTAATGCTACTTGTGGCAAGCGACTGGCTTCAATTGGTCTGGAGAACACAGAGGCAAATCGCCAGGCTTACAGAACACTTCTAGTCTCAGTACCAGGTTTGGGTCAGTACATTTCAGGTGCAATTCTCTTTGAAGAGACTCTCTATCAATCAACAACAGAGGGAAAGAAGATTGTTGATGTTCTTGTTTCTCAGAACATAGTGCCTGGTATCAAGGTTGATAAGGTAAGCCAGGAACTGGAATTGTTCAAAATGGTTTTAGCTTTTTGTTATTTTAATTTACATGTATTAGCTGCTGGTATATTTTTCTTGAATTACCTCTCAACATAGGTGAGACTAACACTAATTGAATTTTTTTTTCAGAAGCTTCTAAAAGAAATTTAAGTCTAAAATACAAGAGTAATGATCAAAAGAGAATGAAATGATACTTGCTTCATTTTGGACGACTTTCTTGTTGCTTCTTAAAGCAGCTTTCTACTATAAAAATTTTAATTTTTTTTACTAAAATTTACTTCAAGAAGTAGCAAAAAAGCCGTCCCAAGGCTTCGTTTGGGATGGCTTTCTTTTTGCTTCTTAAAGCAGCTTTTTAATAAAAAAATAAAAATTTTATATTAAAAAGCCGTTTTAAGAAGCAATAAGAAAGCCATCCCAAACGAAGCCTTAATCATCATCAGCTCATGCTCATTCGGTTAGACTTTAATGACTGTAGGGTCTTGTGCCACTGGCGGGCTCCAATGATGAGTCATGGTGCCAGGGACTTGACGGTTTGGCCTCCCGCTGTGCCAGTTACTATCAGCAAGGCGCTCGATTTGCCAAATGGTGAAATCCACTAAACTCTCTAAAAGCAATTTTATTCTTTACTGTTTATATCAGTTTTGGAATAAGTTATATCAGAAAATTATTATTCCATAGCTCCAAAACTCCTGAAAATGCTTAGCCATTCTGCTTTATAGGCGCACAGTGATCAGCATACCCAATGGCCCATCAGCACTTGCAGTGAAGGAAGCAGCTTGGGGGCTTGCTCGTTATGCCGCCATTGCTCAAGTAAACTTTGTTCATTACTAAAAGAAACTGAAGTAGTAGATATCTAATGTGTTTTCTTATAATTTCTCTTCTTGACATCATTGCAGGACAATGGACTTGTTCCGATTGTGGAGCCTGAGATTCTTTTGGATGGAGAGCATGGAATTGATAGGACCTTTGAAGTTGCCCTGAAAGTCTGGGCTGAGGTGTTCTTTTACTTGGCTGAAAATAACGTGTTGTTCGAAGGAATTCTACTGAAGCCAAGCATGGTCACTCCTGGAGCTGAGAGCAAGGATAAGGCAACGCCCGAGCAAGTTGCAGAGTATACTCTTAAGCTTCTTCATAGAAGAATTCCACCGGCAGTTCCTGGAATTATGGTGAGTACTAACTACTACGAATTTAAAGAACTTTGGATGAAAAGTTGATTGAACATAGGTTTCTATGTTGCACCGATACGGATATGGCGACACAGTACAACACGATACTGATGCGGGACACGTCAATTCTTAAAAATACAGGATACGGGTACGGCGCGGACACGGTGTTATAATTTATAAATCATACATAAAAATTAAGAAAGCAATCAAAGCATAATATTTGAAATTACAAAAAAAAAAGTAACATCATTTGTAGCCTGGTAGCTTATAATATCAAAATCCATCTCAGAAATGAGAGAACCTCGCTCGCAGCTGTGGAAGTAAATACGACGCGCCTTTTTTTCAGATTTTTTTTTGTTTTTCAACGAACACACGTATCGGATACGTGTGTCCTTTTGAAATTAAATAATATTTTAATTGGATATTGCTTTGCCATATCCGACACATATCGGAGGTATATCCGTGTATCGGTGTATCAGATACAGCACGCCTTCATAAATAAGTGTATCGGTGCAACATAGATAGGCTTGTGTTCATCAGTGATAAACTTACTTATTTTCAACAAAACATTATAAGCTCTTTGGATCATGCACCATTAACCTTTAATGTGTTTTGAGTGGAACAGTTTCTTTCTGGAGGGCAATCTGAAGTAGAAGCAACTCAGAACTTGAATGCAATGAACCAGAGCACAAACCCATGGCATATCTCTTTCTCCTATGCCAGAGCACTGCAGAACACTTGCTTGAAGACTTGGGGAGGAAGGCCAGAAAATGTAAAGGCAGCTCAGGAAGCGCTGCTCGTGCGTGCCACCGCCAACTCGCTTGCTCAACTTGGGAAGTACACTGGTGAGGGTGAGTCGGCTGAGTCTAAGAAGGGAATGTATGTGAAAAATTACAGCTACTAAGTGCTTGTGATAAATTATGGCTGCTTATTGTATCTTCTTAATGTTTTAGAGATACCATGTTGAATGAACTTCCAGTTAAGGACAGAAGTGGCACGAGCTATATGTTATGTAATATACTTGAGGCGTTTTTAATCTATTTTTATTGTGATGTATTCTACCATGGATGGTCGAGCTGCTTCTTAATATGCTTATAAAATAAAAATCAAGAGAAATTATTCTGTGCGGAGGTCAGATGCAACTCTATGTTCGGAAGAGAATCAGGTGCAACCATGTTAGCGGTACCGTGGCCGAGCGATACCGAGCCGTGCTATCGAGCATTATCGAGCCACAATACACAGTAAAGAGTCAACGTGGTGCATTCTGATTGGTCTCCGGACGACGTTCCGAACACCATCCGGAGACCAAAGGGTGGTTAATGTACCTAACTTAATTTCTGCAATTCAGAGAGGCCATTATAACATAACTTGGGCTAAGAATCTCCAAATCATGATGAAGGCAACTTTACTGCTTGGGGCTGTTTTCAAATTATTACTTCTCAGAAGTTTCACTTTTCTGTTTGATGGAATAAGAATTCAACAGTAATGTTGCGGAAGAACAATAAGAGGAACATCAAAAAGTTTGGAGAAGAGAAATAACATGAATTTATTTACCAAAAATAATAAAGTTTTTCAATGCAACAAAAAATCATCATTGCCATTTGGCTTATTTATCACATAACACCCCTCCCCAAGTGGATTAATTATTCTGTGTAGACGCCGAACATCGTCTGGAGACCAATCAGAATGCGCCACATCATCCCTTCGCTGTGTAACGCAACTCGGTATAGCTGATGTGGTTGTACCTGATTCGCCTCCGGACGTAGAGCTATGTCCGACCTCCGCGCAGAATAATTTCTCCGCCAAGTGGCTCTTACCCTCAAACTGTAAAACTTAAATTTTCCTATATCTTGACCATCAACTCGAAACCGGTGACCACATAATAACTTAAAGTAGATAATGCTGTACACAATTCAGACCAAAATCTCTTCTCCATTTCACAAATATCAGAAAGATATATCCATCATGTCAGTCACTAACGTTTCCATGATCACAGTTTCTGCTTCAGCACCACATGAGCCAAACTGCAACTTAGGATACCCTTTACCTGCATAATGTACCATAATCAACCATCAATCCTTAATGTTAAATGTGAAAGTAAAAATCAAAGATTGGTTAGTAGTTTCTCAAGCTTATCACCATAGAGGGAGGACAGCATTGGATCCTTCATATAAGGAAATTTCATAGGGCATGAGGAGAGTGGGATCACAGGGAGATTGTCACAGTTGCAAATCTCCACCATGTAGCCATCAGGGTCATGAAAAAAGAACTGATCAACCTCTATGCCACTTTCCTCGACGACAGCGGTGACATACTCTATCCCCATCCCTTCGAGTTTTCGTTTCAGTAGGTAGATATCTGAGCATTGAAAGGAGATATGGTTTTCTTTTGGGTTTATGATTCCTTTCTTTTTTGGAACTTCATCAAGGGAGTTGCATTGTAGCAAGTGGATTCCAATGCCATAGTTGTAGAGCCTAAATATTGAGAAAAGGAACTCATTAGATTAGTTTTTTGTATCATATTGGCAACATAATGTTCATTATTGTAGATCATGATATTTTGAAAAAGAAAAGTAGCCCAAAAATGCTATAAACATGGGCCTATCTTGCTCATCAAAAATAGTAATCAACCAAAAATAATTCTACACAAATTGTAGACTAAATAACTGAGCTAAGAGTATCTTCTTATTATAGGGATACTTAAAATTAAGATCAAGGACTCAATACTGAGAGAACAACTTATCAAAAGCCTGAAATCAAGAAGAGCTTTGCACATTTTAACGGTCACTTTCACACAAATGGTGACTAAGGAGAAGATGAATGCAAAGCAAAGAAAGCCTCTTACCATGCACCATGGAATTTGAAGGAAGAGGGCCTCTTAACACTCACAAAACCAAGCACCTCCTCATAGAACTTCACCGATCGGCTTACAGACCTGACCACAAATGATACGTGGTTCAAATTGAGTAGCGGCGGTGTCAAAGACATTGTTCCTCCGATAACCTCCTCCTCGACGATCTCAGGAACCATCCTTAGCTTTTCCTATATCTCCTTTAAGCTTGTTAGTTGTTCCTTGGATGCCTGTCCTCTTCCTCCATATCTATATATATAGAGCACCTAATAAAGGACACTACAAACCATGCCTATCACGCATTTAGTATATCATAATCCATTTTGAAGCTTAGATGCTTTGATGAAGTTCCCCACCAAATTGTAAGGCATTATCAAGTAAGAATTTGAGATGTTTAAGTTGATAATGAGTGGTATTTTCTTCTTAAAATAGATAGATAATGCATAGATGATAAGGACCGCATACTTTTATGTACCTTTAATAGAGGCTTTCAAGGAAGGAGGGGAGAAGCATGCATTGGCACCAACATTTTGAACATGTAGATAAGAACTTGATTTTACATTTTCATTGTATACTTCTGCATTATTGGTAAGAACTCAAATAAATCTTCTTCTTCTTTTTTCAACATGTTAATTTTGTAAGATTTATTGATTTTTGAATTTTCCGAAGTTAGAAATTTTTTAAATTAAAATGTTGATATTAATGAGACTTTGTTGTGGAAAGGTAATGTATTGTACTAAATTCATGTTGAATGGTACAGTGATTACCTCTTTAAGTTTGAAAATTAGACCGTTAATGAGAGGTCGTTAACAAATGCAATGAGCTCAAGTGAGGATAACAAGAGAATCAAGAAGCTAGACAAGGCACAAAATTTAAAATGGAAAATACAATGAGAGAAAAATCAAAGGTTTAATTTACGCACTTAATCACCCACTAATCATAAGGTGTTAGTTTTTTATCAAGAGAATGATTGCAGTATTAAAAAACATTGAAGCACTTTTTTTTTGCTTATCAATGAAGTTTTATGTATGTGCAATATTATCTTTGTAAAATGTTGAAGTATGATGAAGTTTACATTCTGGTTCATTTTATTCATAAACATGATTAGGGTTTCTTTCAGAAACTATTAAAGCTCTAAACATTCCTCACCATGGAAGGAAAAGTGAGCTCAATAAGTATGGGCCATTTGGGATTTTTGTTTTTTTATTTTATTTTCTATTTTTTTATTTATGTTTAAATACCAAATACAAATATATTTAATATTCAAAATAGGCATTCCTTTTTTTATTTTAATATTGCATAAGATGATGATGTTGGGTGGTGATAGCAATCGAGGGTGATAGCCGTCATGATTTTCATTGAAAATAATAATAATAAACATTTAAAAGTTGTTTGAGTATTTCAAAAAATAGCTTGATTTATTTTAAAAAATAAAACTAACTAAAAATACAAAGCAAATATTTTTATAAAATAAAAAATAATTCAAAATAATATGTGAACAAATGTAAAAAAAGTAAAATTTTGAACACTTCTATAGTCATAATTTTGTTACTAGATAGATAAATAAATCACACCTTTTATATCCACATTTAAAAGATAAAATGTAATATTCATAAATCAAATATCTCTTGTTAACACATTTTTTTAATGTTAGCAACTGAACTTTCCATCCCATGTCCTTTTTTAAAGGTGGAGAGGATATTTACAAATATATCATTAAATTCTTATCTATTTATATATTTAACATCTGAATTCTTATATTTACCTTTGTAACACCATATTGTCATATCAAAATTTATGCATGTAAAGACTAATAAACTAAAAAAGATTTTACTAACAATTATGTATTAAATCATCTATTTACTTATGTAAAATCTAAATATTTATATTTTCGTTTATAACATCTTAGTATCTAAGTCGCATTCAAATTATACACAGAAAGAAGTATTCACTTTGGTAATTTTAGTGAAATGTTTTATATGATTTAAAAATTAGGATGCTATATAAGTAAATATAAAAAATTAGGTGCTAGATATATAAATATATAAGAAATTAGTGCTATGCATGCAAATCCCCATTATCTAAGTAATTTAAATGAGTCAAAACTGATTTGAAATTGAGAGAAGCTTTTAGTATCAATTTAAAATTATATCTAAACAAATTTACATGGATTCCATTAAATTCTTTTCTATTTACACACTTAAGATCAATATCATTATATTTATTTTTATACCACCCTTATCATATTGTCACATAGTTCCTCTCTCTCTCTCTCTGACTTAATCATTCAACATGCTAGTTAGAGAGTACATCATGTACGTGTCTAAGGCATTCAATACCAGAGGTCATTAATTGTTGTACTTATTATTCTTTATTGATGCAGCTTTTGAATCATTATAAATAAATGGTGAAAATAATTATTTTGGATCTTTTGACATTTTTTATAGACAATTGAGCTAGTAGATCAATTTCATAGAGTTTTTACTCTCTCTATCTCTCTCCTCATTATCACATAGGTTCTCAAGTCACATCCCCTCAAAGCTTGACTACTAATAAGGTTGTATGTCATCCACAAATAAACTTGGATCCAGCATTAATCTCTTAATTTCACCACACCATAGCTAAATTATTCATGTAGTAATTTAAGTATTCCAACTAGTGCACTTTGTAGTTTACTATTAAAATCAAGGCCAATCAAAATCATATCTTCCGCTCACCTAGTGCGAACTAATCACCCTAGATTCATTGTTTGGTCCTCAAGACATGTTAAGTCATATATGTCTGACTATTCCAAAATGATTGCATCATGTGAGATAAATATAAAGAAGATTTGCTCACCAATCCAACCGCCAACCTCATTTGAATAAGCAGGCAGCATGGGCAGGCAAACTTAGGTAGTGCAAACGGGCATGCGGGCTAGCTTTTGCTGGTGGGGAGCCGGATAGCACGTGCGGGCAGGCATGGCCGATAGCTTCCATGGACAGCTGGGTGGTCTATTTTTTAATTATTATTTTTAGTTATTCTGATGGCATTTTCTAGTCGGACAACCACCAGAAAACTTTTCGGCAAAAAAATTCCACAGGGCGGAAATTTTTCCTGAAATTTATTTGGCCGGAAATCCGCAAAAAATTAACAAATTTCTGACGAAAAATTTGCCAGTAATGCATTATTTTCCTGTAGTGAATGGCACAATATCTGCCACAAAGTACTTCTCTATCAAGCCCAATAATGCTTCAAAAGGACCAACTCTTAGGCACCCTTTTGCCCATCAACTGGTTAAAACTTGCCTATGATTCCCCTTCAGCCCACCACGTGGTCTGTGCCCTCAATAACTATAAGAGCTGTTGTTGTTTTGATTTATGCACCATTGCTATAGGGCCAACTCTCATCACTTTTGATACCTCCATATCACTAAGGCCTTGCTCTCTTTTTGTATCTACAAACATAACTCCTAAAGCAATAAAAGGCAAACAAGGGGTCAAGTATCAACACATATAAATAAACACTACATATACATAGAATGAGCTAGTAGATCATTTTTCTTAGAGTTTTTCCTCTCTCTCTCTCTCTCTCTCTCTCTCTCTCTCTCTCATTCTCACATAAGTTCTCAAGTCACACCCCCTCAAAGTTTGACGGCTAGTAATGTGTCGTCCAAAAATAAACTTGGATCCAACAATAATCTCTTAATTTCACCACACCATTAAAAATTATTTATGTAGTAAATTGAGTATTCCAACTAGTGCACTTTGTAGTTTACTATTAAAATCAAGGCCAATCAAAATTATATTGTATGCTCACCTAGTGCGAACTAATCACCCAAGGTTCATTTTTTGGTCCTCAAGACATGATAAGTCATATATGTCGTCCGACTATTCCAAAATGATTGCATCATGTGAGATAATTATAAAGAAGACATTAAGCCACACTTGCTTATTAGCTCACTAAGGGTTCATTGCTCACCAATCCAACATCCAACCTCATTTGATTCATATAGTTAATTTTTTCGTATTTTCTTCTTTCTAATCGACTGATTGTTGTCATTTTAGAGATTGAATCTTTGGTTGCTCTAGCACTATGCAAACAAACCAACTCCTCAAAGTATAATGGCCTAATATGCCACAAAGTACTTCTCTATCAACCCCAATAAAGATTCTAAAGGACCAACTCTTAGGCACCCTTTTGGCAATCAACTGGTTAACACTAGCCTATGATTCCCCTTCAGCCCACTACAAGGAATGTGCCCTCAATAGCTATAAGTGCTATTATTTCTTTGATTTATACACCATTGCTATAGGTCCAACTCCCATCACTTATGATACCTCCATATCACCAAGGCCTTGCTTTCTTTTTGTGTCTACAAACATCACTCCTAAAGCAATAAAAGGAAGGTCAAGTATCAACACATACAAACAAACACTACATATATAGAGAGAGAAGAAAGAGTGAAAACACACAAGGGAGAGTAACTAGGAAATAGGTGGTGAAGGGAACCCCCAATTCTACCTTTTATTCATCCATCTAATCTAGAGTTCAAGCTTGATCGGATGGGTTTTATGTCTGAAAATTATGTACATATATACAGTGAACTTTCTTTTCCCCTTTCTATAGATGTAAGCCTACATTTTAAAACATGTAAGACTCTCCGTTTGCAAGTTTATCTTGTATTATGCATCCTCCCTTTTAATGTGATCACTCTATGTATAATGATCCTTCAAATAAGTATCTCACAAAAGGTCCAACAAAAGTGGAAGGGGTAATACCCAACCTCAAGACAATTTATCTCCTTCGATAGTAAATCTCCATCACATAATTAGCCCACTACTTGCAATTCAATGAGTCTTCAATAGATTTTAGTGACAACTAAAGAAAACAAGCTAACTTATGAGCCAACACAATCACCTGATATAATCTTAAACTTGATTAGTTAAGTCTAGCATTCAAGCTCATGTTATAGTGATTTCTGCTTGGAGAAAAGTTGGTGTAATGGCTTCTTCATCCACAAAAAACTACTAGCATGCTTAGTACTTGCAATATAATTTGCCTATGGTTGACAAAGGCTACATTTACTGCAACTCTCACTATTATGCTAAGCCTCACTACTATTCTCATAATCGTTTCAATTTTATAACTTCATAATAATTAATCACCATTTAACGAGAAGACTCGAGGGCACCATTGG